TGTTTTCTACAGGTAAATCAGAATAAGACGTGGTAGAACCTTATTTAATCTTAATAACTTACTTCTTATAATATTGTTCTTTGATAAAACAAAAAAAATTGAGCTGCAGTAATAAAGCTAATAAAAACCATTACCGATAAGTCTGGAAAAGGGCTTGAAATAGCATTTTAATAGTCTGCACAGCATTTATTTTTATTTAAATCAAGACTCAGCAAATGTCTCATGCCAATTAAGTCATTTTCCATTTGAATAAATTTTGAGGAATTCCAATAACAACAGATTTATCTATTTTAACAAACACTTAAATCAGAGCTTATCTCTTAAAACATTTTAATACAATGATCAAATTGACAGATAATATTTACTCGTGACTTTAAAGTTTCATTTATAAGCAGCCTAAGGTGGTTATTTTAAAGCGAAAATAGCAAACATCAGAATAATTTTTTAGAATTAAATAATAAATAATTTCATATTTATTTATTATTACCTCTTCATGGAACAATACTAATAAATAAGATATAATTATTTATATATATATATATATATATGTGTGTGTGTGTGTGTGTGTATATATATAATATAAATGTAATTTTTTTTTCAATATAATCATAAATAAAATTAAAATAAATTTGCTTTTCATAGAGTTATTTATTGAATAATAACCATTAAAAACAAGCAGAGTACAATAAAATGTAATATTAGAAATATTGATTAATGAAATCAATAAATTAAAAATTAAAATAATCGTTTATTACTTTTTAAATATGTAAGAAAACATCTAACTAAATTCAAATGACTTCAATATTAATAGTAGTAGAAAAAGTTTTAGACAAAATAATTGGTTTTAAAATTTAGAAGAATAGACAAATTGTAGAATGATTTGCATATTAATGACTAAAATGAACAAATTTACATTTCTAATGTGAAAATAAAAAAAAACATGTTATTTAGTAATGTAGTATACTATTATTTAAAATGAGTTTTTTTTAATTAGTAACGGCAATGTAAATATAAATTTACAATAAATATAACTTCAACTATTTTTTTTTCACTATATAAATAATGTTTGTTATTATCTTCACCTCCGGGGAGTTAGTTTAAATTTGAAACTGGCACATTTCACAAAGTAAATATGTATATTATTACAAGATATATTACATAAAACGCATTTTTTATAAGAACATCTTTTAATGAAAACAAAATTTTTAATTTTCATAAAAGAAATATTTGTTTCAAAGCATTTGTTATTAAAAATAAACAATAAAGAACTGTAGAGTAAACAAGTAAGTTTAAATATTAATAATGAAGAGAAACATTTAAAAAAGTATTATTTTTACGAAATTTATCAAGAACCATTTATTTATAAACATTTATTTACTAAACAATTACACCACAAACCCATTTAAATTTCAGTGGGACATGCGGCTTACACTTTTAATGAATTTGGTGAATTCTAAAACTCCAATGAGGCCTCTTCAGAACTAAAACTAAAATGCATTTATGCTTTCGTAGTTATAAATTAAAAGTATTGATTTTTTTGTGTTCCTTATTTAACAGAAACGCATAACTTTTAGACGATCGATAAAGAATTAAGTTGCTTTTGTAAAAGACTAAAAAAAAAAAATTCAATTACTACACTCAGAATGATAATCAAAATTACACTCAAGCAAGTTACACTCCTCTTACAAGAGTTAGAGAATGTTATTTTTATGCTCTCAAATCCCCGATATCCTTTTCATAAGCAAAGTAAATATTCCGTTATTTGCCTCAGCTGTAAGTGAAGAAATCAATTCCTCGGCTGATTCGAAATCACGACGCGCATTAAACTGCTATGTAAATTAAGGAAAATCATCAAGTTTGAAAAATTCAATGATCAGTCCCTTGCGAAGTCAGCTATCGAGTCGAGATTACAAGGGGCTTTGTGTACTTATCTTCTTGAAGTTATTAAATCTCGGTTTATAAAAATGCCTTAAGAAATTGATGAAGACTTCTGAGCGTTAAATTGCTTTTCAAGATATGTAAGGCTTGCTTCTCCTGAAGTTATAATTGAATAAGGCATGTTTCTTAAATGTAATTAAAATTGGATGGAATTATATGTTTATTAAGTTTTGAATAGTTTGCAGAGCAGGATTATTTTTAATGAAATATCAAATTATTTTGCACTGAGTTATTTTTTACGTAACATAATTTATAATCTACAATAGTTAATTATTTCTTGTATTATATATTTTAAGTGTTTTCAAAGTTGTGATGATCTTACAGTTAATTTCATGATACTATATGAATTAGTAACTTCATGATGCTATACAAATTAGTAATTTCAAGATACTATACAAATTTGCAACTTAATGATACTATACGATGGTAATACTATAGGAATTAATAATATGATACTATATAGTGGTATTGCTATACGAATTAGTAACTTCATAATACTATACAAATTATTGATTTCATGACTATATGATGGTAATACTATGCGAATCAATAGCTTTATGATACTATATGATGGTAGTGCTATTCGAATTAGTAACTTCATGATACTGTACGAATTATTAACTTCATGATGCTATATAGAGGTATTTCTATACGAATTATTAACTTCATGATACTATATAGAGGTATTTCTATACGAATTAGTAACTTCATGATATTATACGGTGGTAATACAATCCGAATTAGTAACTTCATGATACTATACGAATTATTAACTTCATGATTCTATATAGAGGTATTTCTATACGAATTATTAACTTCATGATACTATATAGAGGTATTTCTATACGAATTAGTAACTTCATGATATTATACGGTGGTAATACAATCCGAATTAGTAACTTCATTATACTATATGATGGTAATGCTATACGAACTACAATAGTAACTTCATGATACCACACAGTAATAATCTCACTTCACGTTTAAAATATTTTGTATCATTAATCAAGAAATATGAGAGATTCAACTTCAAAATTATTAATACGTTACTTGTAATTGGAAAACTCAAAAGATTGTTAATAATTGTACAACTTACTTTCCCTCGTTAAAATTACTGGCTGTCATGAAAATATTTTTGATTTCTTGCTTCCACTTATACACATGACAATATATATATATATATATATATATATATACATATATATATATATATATATATATATATCATAATTATATAATTTTCTAATTTTAAATTTTTTATACCTTTGCTTTTGCAAAATATTATTACAACAACTGTTACATCTGTCAAGTTTTGTTACAAATAATTGGGCTTTAATGTAGAAAATTCTTTTGTTTGCATAAATTGCCTTCATTTATAAAATTACTTTTCATTATAGTGTACCTATATGCTGTTAAATTATTTAATCTTTCACTTACAATAAAAATCACTGACGAATAAAATTAATACAGTTAGCTTGTTGCTAAAATGCATTAGTTTCGCAGACTTTGGAAGTTTTCTAACTTTAGATGATAACATCTTTAATGTCTAAGAGAATTTCTTTTGGATGTACTCTGTTTCTTAACGTCGTTAATCAATTCTGGTAACTAACTTACCTAACATTACTAGCATTATCTGCTGATGTTCTATTTCAAGATCAATGTGTAACTGAAAGCAGATGGTAAAAGTACCTCGCCGTTTTCTAACTTATCTTTCTCGAATTTTTAAGGAATAAAACTTTTGTTTTTATTTTATTAGTTCTTTAAATTTACTTAAAGAAAACTGTTAAAAGGGTTTTTTGAAATCGGAAAAATTAAAATACGGTTACCTTTCATGGTATGATTGCAATTAACTTATATCTTTGGCCATTTGATTTTTATAATTAGCAAATATGCTGGTCCATACTTATTGTTTTTTTTTATTTTGTAATTGAAAAAATATTGATTTAATAATTCAGACTTTTGCATTTTGGTTTGCTCTTAAATTAAATGTAAAAAGGTTTTCTAGAATAAGATTTTTTATCATTATCTTCCGGGTCATTTTTAAAAAAAACTGATTGAAGTTTTGAATTATTTTTATGTAAAATTTATCACAGGCATATTTAATATGAACTATTTAATATTAAAGGCAATTTTTAAATTAAATACAATTTTATTCATAATAATTTAATAATTGTTTTTGATATTTTTTAACCCCTTACGTTTTAGCTTGCAAAAAAACGAACTTTTGATTACTTAAGGAAGGCGTTGTACTATAAAAATATTTTAATTTTGGGTGGAAATTTTTTTTAATTAATTACATAATACTATTTACATTTTCTATAACATCTTTAAATAAATATAAATTTTAATAAAATATTATTTAATTTTTTTTACAATATGTGAAAAACGTTTTATCAAATTGAGTTATTTTTAAAGTGAATAAAAAATTTTTTCGCCAAAAAAAATTTTTAACTTACAAAGAAATTTTAGAATAAAAATATACCTAACTAAAATAACTGCCTATTTATATCTCTCCTTTTAGCATTTCTTCTGGCAACTAACAGACGAACTTCACTATCATCATACAGGTTTAAAGTTAACATTGATAAGAAATTTTTTTTCAACAAAAAAAAAAAGTGGAATAGTGCTCCCGAAAGCTCAATTTTATATCAATTTTTACTCTAACATCCTGATGATGACATCTGGATCGTATTCTACAGGGGGTTATTTTTCCCAGTAATGTGACACGTTTTCCGGGAATTTTTTTCCCCAGCACTTTTCTTTGGACTGCAAGCTCATTGCTTTTGTTCTTATCATGGTAAAGAAGGGATATTTGCACCTTATCACTACTGGATATGCATGAAGTTTCCTTAGCAGATCACGAGTTTTACAAAGGGATCGTGTACAAATTGCATTTCTGATTTGTACGAACTCTCGAAACTTTATCTGTTATTTAATGATCACTGAAATTCTTACTATACTTTTATAGAACAAATTCAATCTTTTTTTCATCCAAATTTTTATTTTATTGGTGATTGAAGGGCATATTCATAACTATTATTATTATTTTAGTACTAGGTCTTATGAATATACCGGTTCTCGTTAGATCACCGAAGTTAAGCATCATTGGGCGCGGTCAGTACTGGGTTTGGGAACACCGCGTGCCGTTGGCAAGTTTGGGACCTGAATGGCCGAAGCGCTCTGACGCTCGGTGCCACAGGTTTCGGGTTATCCCGGCGGTGCCATGGATGTTTGTAGAATCCATGCCGTAGGTCCCGGTCTTCTATGACTGTAAGAGCGTCACGGAGCAAAAAGTCAGGCTTCTAACGGGGTGCTCCATCACAACAGAAGCTGCTTCCTTCCCCTTCAATCATGAGTCCATATGGGCTCGTTTGGCCAGCCAAGTGGGATAAGAAACAACAAACAACAACAACAGGTCTTATAATTTTAGGCAATTTGTCATAAATAGACATGTATGCAGAAGATGCAATGCAGAAAGAAAAAAAAGGAAAAGAATGTCTTCTTTCAAAGTGAAAATAACGAATAAAAATGCCACCAAAAAATACACCAATTTTATTTCATTAAACTTATATCAAGGGAATTACCCCTTTGTCTAAAGAACTATTGTAGATGTTATTAGCCTCCATGCTATAGTGAGACATACTATGCATCATCGTAATACCTTTTCACCTTCTTGATTCTCGAGCATTTGCCGATTAGTCACTAATAAAGGAAACTATAGTTAGTTCTCGACTTGCAATTATTCAAATTTAAGTTAGTTGAAAATCTTTATTAAAAATTCTACACATGTATCTTTAATAAAGGTACATGTACAGAAGTTGCAGTTACAGAAAGTACAGTACTTTGTCTCGCATTGGAATGAACAGATGAAGAAATCGTTTAACTGACCAAAAACGTGATCAATAAGAAAATATTATTGTTATAGAAGGATTATAAGATCACAAAGACAATGAACCGCCTAAACAAGGTTTTATTAATTTTAAAAACGAAAATAAAAACCTAAATTAAGAATGAAATTATGAAACGACCTTACCACTTAAAATGAATTAATTATAATCCTATTTAATTAAATACAATGTTAATATTTTTTTCGATAAATCATAATTTGTTTACATACTTATTTAAAAAAAACACATAAAAATATATACAGATTTATCAGTTATCGTACACTAACACATTTTTTAAAAAAAGTATACTAATATATTTTTAAAAACTTATTCTTTATATACTAATCATAACGATGATACGATTAATAAAAATTTATTAATAGTATATTATGTCATACATTTTTAAAAACTTCAAACAAGTTAAATATTAAATTATAAGCTTAACTAATATTTAAATTAAGGTGTTTTTTGTTAGATTTTTGGAAACTTTTATAATATTAAAAATTCTGTTTTCTTTTTTATATAGTTTTTCTTGTCTTCTGTACTTGTATTACTTTTGTAATTATGTATTTTATTATTATTATTATTATATATTACGCATTTTATTATTATTTATTATTTTACGTATTACTTTAGTATATTACGTATTTATTTTAAATGCTAAAATATCAAATAATAATCTTTCTATTCAAAACGTTATTTCCTTCTCAAATGACTTTTATATTTTTACCGATGCTAAATTTTTTATACGTTTTTTAAAATTGAGTATTTGTATTTTATCAAATTGAGTATAAAAATATTTAATTTGTATTTTATCAAATCTTTTATATTTTTACCGATACTTTTATATTTTTACCCATACTAAATATTTTTACCGATAAGATTTCATTAATTTTAAAAACGAAAATGAAAACCCAAATTAAGAACGAAATTATGAAAAGACCTTACCACTTAAAATGAATAAATTATAATCCTATAATTAATTATATTCCTATTATAATCCCTCCTTTTTGATCAATTACTAATACTCAATTTTAATTAAATACAAATTAAATATTTTTTTTTTTTCTTTTTTTTTTTTTTTTTTTTTTTTTTTGCATTATTCCAAATACTATTTTTATTTTGTAGACATCCCCCCCAAAAGCTCGGAAAGGAAAAGAATGGCTTGGACTGGAGGATTTTTTAAGCGATTGTCAACCGCCAATCAATGATCATGAATCTTCCTCCATCAAAACGACGTACAAATCCTAGACAAAACTGCACTCCAATACCCTTCACAAAATTCACTACATTGCCTTGTGATCTGTCTACGGCGACTTTTAAACGATTCCAGTATTCTTCTACATGTGGGGCTGCGATTAGAACTCTTTTTATTTTCTTTGCTTGTTTGCCTTCGAGATTTAGACTGCTCGGGACCGAAAATAGAATTCCATGGGTTCTCTTTCTATGTTCTTTTCTATTTTTTCGAATCTTTGAGGACTGAAGATGAAAAAATTCAACGAAGAAAAAAATTTAAATAAAAGAATTTCTATATAAAATTTTTAATAAATTATTTTTTTTATAATTAAAAAATCTCTTAGTTATTTAGATTTTTATGCTAAATTTTAAATTATACATTTTAAACAATTAACATAATAGGTGATAATAAACAATTTTATAATACTTAAAAAAAGAAACCTGAAAATTTTAATAATGAATTTATATGTGCATCTAAATAATAATAGAAAAAGAAATAAAAATATTTAAATAAAATTATTTTTTATGCTAAATTTTAAATTATACATTTTAAACAATTAACATAATGCGTGATAATAAGCAATTTTATAATACTTAAAACAACAACCTGAAAATTTTAATAATTAATTAATATATTTACCTAATAATAAAAACAGAATGAAAATTATTTTAATATGTTACTAACAAAAAGAATTCATCAAATCATAAAATAATAATTATTTCATGATTTGTAATGTATAAATAATGTATTTTAAAAATACATTATGTCTAAAATGCTAAGCTTTAATCTGCCTTTTACCAAATCACCAACGAAGTAAAATCTTTTTTAATATAGAGCATTTTTGTCGAAATTTGATAAATAGAATACAATTATTTCATTGGAATGCAAATCTGGTAAATTGTTCACTAACTTCTAATACTCGTGTTCTTTTTAATCTACTAAAGTTATAGCAAATTTGCAATTCAAATATACAATTGTAAAAGAATTAGTTTTTAATTTCACATATTCCATAGAAAAGCAATGTTTAGTATTTTAAATAAGTCTAAATTCAGTTATAGTAGATTGCATTCTTGCAACAGTCTAAATTTAAAATGTTAAGTTAATATGAAACTCATATAGTGCTATATCGATTGCATATCTTTTTTAAATGCTTTAAGCAAGGGCTTCCATATTTTAATCTTTATTTCTTATTGATAAATTAATTTAACTTTCATAAGTATCAATGTCCTTCATTTTTATCTTTTTCTTCGCGATAGTTGGTATTTTTTTAGAAAATATCATGTCTTCTTTTAAAAAAAGATCTTTAAAGCAAATTTAATATTTCTATTAATTAATGTTATTTTAATAGATATTTCTGAATATAATATCTAATTGAAATAGGCCACTATAACTTAACTTATTACTTTTAACTTATATAACTTATTATAACTTATAACTTATTTTTCCACTTTAAATTTCATATATTTTTATGGATGTTTCTAAATTAAATTCATTCGATTAATCAAAACATAATATTAGTCAAACTTGAAATAAAACAGGTTTTTTTTTTTTCAGATTAAAAATTTAGCAATATTTTTATCAATACTTTACATTCAAGTTAAACTTTTTAAACATTTTCAAATTCTTCTCTAAACCTTGACTCAGTCCCATGCATTGATTTTATTTTTATTTGGCGTGATATTCTCAGAGTTATTTAAAGTTTGCAATTCATAACTAATTTTTAAATAAAATATATTAAACGAAATTTTTTTTAAATTTCTTTTTTCATAAAATAAAAATTGATATGAAAATAATATATTAAATAATATATTAAATTTGATGCAAAATATTTATTGTTTTCACTACATGAAAAAATCCCACATTTAATGTTTAATACTAAATAAACAAATGGTTACGTTAAATTCAATAAAATTTGTTATTTTCTGAATATTTAAAAAGACCTCTACGCCAGTTGGGCAAAAGTAATCAATTACATTAATGATTTTATCACTTAAAATTTATAATTGTTTAAATAAGCATACTATGGAAAAAAATTCCTAAATTAGGAACAAATATTTGTTTAAAATATACTTATTGCAAAAGTAAATGTAAATTGTAATTTCTGAAATAAATCAACAGTAAATGTAAATTTCTTAGACAAAAATTTATTCGACTTTTGAATTTCTACCACATTACATTCATCTCAACAAAAAAAGAAACAAATATGAAAAGTATCAATACTCATCAAAGACTTTAAAAAACTCATGTAACCTAATTAAGATTTGGAAACTTGTGTAAAACTGACAAATACCAACAGGCTTCTTTTATTCTTCACCAGCAGAAAGCATAAAGCGGTAACTACACCAATCATCAATCTTAATAGTCAATGCTCGCCCTCTAAATAACTATTCAACTCCGTGCCCTCATCTTTATTCATAAGCCATACTGATGTAGGGCTGAACCAGTCTTGCGAGCGACAGTATTATCACTGGTGTTCGCTTCATCATTCAATTAGGGTGGTCAACCGAAAGGCATAATTAAAAATAGCCGCCTTTAACACATGTTTCATTTAAGGAGTTCTCACAGCTTGGGGATTCACCTCCTTAGTTCTTGTGCGGTCATGAAAAAGTGGGGTGATTTGTTTTAGATTTTTTCTGAATTAGAGTGATTATCTTGGTAAGAATCTAAACATCAACAAATATTCTTCTACAGATTTCAAAAATTAAAAAAAAAAACTATTCAAAGTAAAAAAAATTAAAAATTTGAAATTTGTTATCTGTTTGACTATATATCATGAGTTGTAATAAATAAATAACTTCAGATACATTAATACAAATTAATTTACTTTAGTATATTTTTGTACTTTACATATAAAAGAAATATTTTCTTGAAGATAAGGAAATATATTTTTAAATATTAAAATATGTTTTTAGATCTGTAAATTATATATAACATTTATACAAATATTTTAAAATAATTTTATAACTTGCTAAATATAAATTTTTTATATTTAGTTGAAGAAAGCCTTTTATAATAATCATGCA